ACGAATTGGCGGTGTTATTTTTTTATACGTCTATTTTCTTTCTCAAGAGTTCTTAAATATATTGAAATATATGTTAGTGTATGATGAAATTAGAAAATTACCAGTAAAAGAAGGGATTGCTTCCACAAATAATTCGTACCTTTTGCCTTGTTGAATAAAAAAATTAAAAAAAACAATATATTCTAAGGCCGGTTGCCAATTCGGTTTGGTTGATTCCGCCGGTTCGGTTCGGTCGGTCTGATTATTCCCTATTTCAAAAATTTGGAATCGAGAACCACCCAAAACTGCTCGGTTCAATTTGGTTTTTCGGTTGGATCAAGATTGATGTACACCCCTAGAAATTATAATGTATCATTGTATCTCACCAGCTTTTCGAGGTGTGCTCAATAGAAACTTGATTTTCACTGTATGAAAATTTGCAAGGGCTGCCATGTAAATTTCGCTTCCCGATCATTCTTTCTTACTAAAAAGTACCTAAAGTAATTTTCCACACTAAGTTTTTAAGGGTAAACACATTTAAAAGCTTTTCAAAATACTTTATGCTCACAAAATTTCGAAAAATCAAAATACTAATTTCAATTCCAATAAATTATGAAATTTTTTTGAAGGACTCTGCACATTAATATTCTATCTATCTGATTTTGAGATTGTTTAAGGTATTCGACATTAAATAATAATTGAATATTGAACTAGACAAGAAAACTCGAAATAAGGATGATCTCTTGGGTTCACATTTGGGTCAGAACGTTGACTTTTCTTTTTCTTTTCTTTTCTTTTTTTAATCGCGTCTGCACATTTCCATTAGAAGATTTTGGAAAAAGGGAAGAGGAAACGAAATTGCTGGCGGATTGGATAGTGGTGGAATACACCCTGTTCCATTAGGAGATAATCAAGGCAACTCCACTTCTCTTTGTACCAATTCAAGTCAATCCCTCTTGTCTAATTAATTAAAAGAAAAAAAATCAAGTCAATCGCTCGTTGATTTCGGCGATGCATAACACATTTTGTTTATCTAATCTTAAATGCATCAAAAGAATGTCTCCCCCATGAACCAGACGTGCGTTAACACCTACCAACCTAACACATTCCATCTTAAAACCATCGTGATGGTCGATTTAGTGGTCAAATGGATCACATGTCTTCCACGAGATCACGAGTTCGATTTACGTTACGAGGGATCCCTGAGTAGCTCGTGCTACCTTGTTTAACCGAGACATGTGCGATCGGATGGAGAGAACTTCTTGATTGCTGTCGTCTTGGCGGGGTTGTAGTGGAGGGCTCGCCAACTTTGGATCTTCGAATTCAAGGCGTGCGAAACAGTTATGATTCAAATCGAAATTCGTTCGTAAGAACATACACAGATTATGTCCATTTTATGGTTTTATGAAAACTTTTAAGGTAAATGTGTGTGTGTGCATACATACGTACGTACGTACATACTTTCAAGAGTCACACGTGCCCATATACCAATTGGATATGAACTATATACGAAGCAAGAAATAATATGCACAATGATAGCCCTAAATACTTCGACTTCATTCTTTTTCTAACTAAAGGTCAAAGGTAAAATAAAAAAAAAATGAGTCATGGACCCATTTCACATATAGAAAGCATCCTTTTGAAGTACAAATGTGATGAAATAACCTAACTCATGAATACTGCTTCATTTTTGTTATGTTGTGTGGATTTTACGGCGCTGTTAGAGAATATTATTAGAGCTATTATTAAATATTACGAGTATTATTTAATTGTTCTTTTTTAAAGGTAGTAGATCACTCCATTTTATGTACAAATTACTCGAATATAATTTTAGAAAAAAAAAATTACTCCAATATAAATGACCATTGATTATAACTGGGCTAATTCCAAAAAAAGGCACCAACTTTATATTGAGTGACAATTATGGTTTGAATTTTTTTTTGTCTCAATAAAAAGCATAAATTTTTACTCGAGTCTCAAATCTTGCCCCCCAATGTAAAATTTTCAAATTTTTCGGGTTATATTTGAGAATTAAGTAAAAGTTGATAATTTTTTATATAATAAAATTATTACACGAAGTAAAGTTGATTTTTTTTTTTTTGAATTAGGCCCGAGTAATACAATAATCCTTTTTCTTCTGATAAATATGAAATGATATGATGCACCACCAGCTCTGCTTTATCCGTGATCAGACATGCGACTGTCTTTTCTTTTCTCTTGTCAATGGGGCCCGTTTGCTCAATTTATGGTAACACTTGTTCTAATGCCACGACATTGTTAACTGTGCGAGACGGTCCTTGAGGTACGTCCAACGTCAATCCTTGATCGACTGGTATCTCAGGTACGGAAGCTTCCCGCCTTGTTCGGTGTCGTGTTTAGCCGGAATTTGATTGATAATGAAATATCTTTTTATTAAAATTTATATTTTGATTTTTATTAAGAGACGACAGAATCTGTGATAATTCCGAACATAAATCTTATTAATGGAATACAAAGAGTAGATATGCTTCAACGTTGATCTACAATGAAGTGCAATGACATAAAAGATTCTGTCGGAATTTAATCAATGATATAACGATACAATGTCGGGAATTTAGTCGATGAGAATGATCTGAAAGATAACATGTTTTTTATTGTTTGTTCGGGAGCTACGTCTAAGCTACATGAATTGAAAGATAACATGTTTTTTGTTGTTTGTTTGGGAGCTCTACAATACATCAACATTAGTATATATAGGTATTTACAACATAATTGCCCATGGCAATTCTTCAGCAGTTTCAACCACATTGTGTCTTCATGATTTTCGGCTCCACATCTTCACATTGCCACGCCATCTTATCCCTAGGCGGTTACTCCTCCAAAATCGCACCTCGATCTTGCTTTTGAACGATCACACTAGCCGTAAAACAGTTACAAGCTTAACTAGCAACCTCGTGCTCATCGATTAACGTTCTTTGAACATCATCTCGCTTAATCTACACCTTCCAATCAACGTCTTCACTTCATTTCACACTCAACCAAATTCTCTAGGACCGATCGTTATCGCACATCGACATCTACAGCCATGATCGTCGAAACCATACCATACCTGATCTCGAAATCATACCATACCTAATCTCGAGTCATCCGCTTCTTTGAATCGGCATCGTATTGATTATGAAAAGTGTGGCCGCGGGAACCGACACAAGTTCCGACACGTGCGATGTGGGAGAAGGGGGGCGGGGGTGACGTGGAGGACACGTGTACGGCGGTGAAACAACATTCTTAGAAGTAAGAACACGAAGCCAATTGTGCTGGATAACCTTAATGTACTTGCATTATTTAATAAACACAAAATCCAGTTGCTGCACCACCATCTGTAATTCATCAGATAAAATTACTTATCTTACCCTGCTAAACAAGCCTCAAGAATTGAACTGAGTTTCTTTCCAAAACCAGAAACTTGTCCCAACTGCGCAGCCTCTTCAATCAAATGCCAATCCTAACATGTTCAGAAGAGTTTGCCCGATCTTAATATGTGTAAGATAAAATGCATCCGCTTGCATTTCAAAGTAGTGAAACAGACGAGCAAGTTTAATGTCCAGCAAGAACCAGATCGATACCTCATTTTCAGTAAAACTGGAATATTTTTCGTGGGCAATTTCTTCACATCGTATGGTAGCAACCATGACCCTAACACGGATAGCATGATGCGTACATTAGCATTCTCATTATCAACAATATACCCAGTGGCCTTTCAATTAATCAACTCTCACCTCGTATGCAGGCAAGTCAAGGTCCCTATCCTCCTTAATGACCTTCCACATCTGCTGAGCACTAAAAGAAAATCCTGAAGCAGGAACTACTCCCCTTCGATCTCCTGCGAGCCCACCAGCTGCAATAGAATGGAAGAACCGCTGTCTGAGGCTGGCCACCTGTTTGCCAAGGAAATTCAACCATATGGCAAAAAATTAGTACGGATGAAAGGTATAATCTACTTGGCAACCAATGCTCCAAATTCTACAATAGACCACAAGAAGATGAGATGGAAACATAACACGTCTCAAACTATAACTGATTAAAAATGGGAACAGAAGAGTAGTGAAAATCACCAAACTCGATAAGGGTGATTGAGCAATGATAAGCCCCAAGAAAATAAGAAATAGCTGTCAATGATGAGTGGCATTTCCACAGATATTCCAAAACTCATGCATATGAGGACCAAAGTTTTGTCTTAAGCAGTACTCAAGCACAGGATTTATGTGAAGGAAAGGGCGCCCACTGCAGCATTTGAAAATCTTGTCCAATCACAACAACAAAGCCGACATAAAAATTGGGCAATCGCACTCAAGATCCAAACATGCTGCCATGTGGTGCAAGGTAGGTATACCTCCTCTTTAAATTGCTCTTCCTTGTATTCATAATTAGAGAGAGCAACAAACTCAACCTGGACAGCAGAAGAGAGTCATTAGGATGAACTTCGTTTTGACGATTAGAAGCGAAAGCAAATCATCGAGAGGAACTTATACAAGCATCAGAGCACCTACATTAAAAAAATCACTGAGAGGAGTTTCCTTGTGCGCTTGTGGCTTAGGAACCTCGTCCCATATCTGCAGGAAAATACTAAATGAAACCAGGAACAACTTTACAAAGTCGATTTTCCAAAGGAAATGCAACAACCCTCACCTTCTGCACAAATTCTCTCAAGCGATTTTCTAGATATCTCGGAGGAGTCTGGATAAAAAGAAAAACCAGAGAGCAGATAAAAACGATCACAATCCAAAATGGAAACGTGATTAAATATAGGTACCAACCCTTGTTTTATCCCGTATGACGAACAACAGAGTTGTTCTCCGTGGGCTAAGCAATCGCATCATGACCTTCAAGAAGAGTCACAAGTTTATCATTAATAATTCTTAGAACTAAACATTTAGCTTATCTTAACGCAAGAGGACAAGAAATACTTGGAATACAGTTTTCAGAAGAGGCTTGCTGGCAGCTTGCTTACGGCCAATATCATGACACCACCTACGAAAAAGATGTGTAAAAAGGGCACTAGGAAAATACTAAAACAACAACCTCGTAGATAAAATTGCAGCAGCAGAAACGGTATCTCACTAGAGCAAAGCAAAAGCCTCACATGTTTATGAGCACTATATCGGAGACAGCCAAAGCGAAAAGTGCACTCTGCTTTTCAAAAGCAGTATTGTCCTGAATAAAAATGACACTGGTTAAGAAGCTGTGAGGATGCTAATTGCTGCTTACTCAAACCAAGTGTGAATCAGGTGAGTTTCAATGAGCATCAGCTACACAATAAATCAATCTTCTGGGTTGGTAAGATGAGCAAAGACATACAAAAGTGGAAAAGCAAGTTAAAGATAATACAGCAGCTGCCCGATGCACAAATTATCTTTCAACATGTAAAAAAAATAGAATTTGCAATTACTTATGGATAAAAATAAGTAGTTAAACATAGACAAAATAAGCTATTATATATCCATGTAAAATCATCTAGTAAATATACCTCTCCTTCTCCAGTTCCCTCCAAGTCCATAACCAGGGTACACGGTTCCATGCCAGCAGCTGTTGCCATCCATATACCTCTGGTGGTTTGGGACCTGGAAAAACACCAAACTGGTTTTGCACTTTCCGAATCCAAATACTTCATAAGAGTGAGCTAAACAGTCGGTTTGTAGTCATGCCTCCCTTTAAAATGATCCATCTCCCTAAAGTTGGTGCCAAATAGATGATTTAACAGCGTACTCTTCCCTGTTTGATATTACACACAACAATAGAATAAGTTTGAATCTCTTATGAAGGCAAAAGAAAAGATACATGAACATGAAACAAAATAAAAGAATTAAACTGAATTTGAGCAACTTGAAATCATTTCACGGCCCTTACAAGAACCTTACAAAAAGTTTTGATCTAATCCATTTCTAGCAAGGGAAGAAAAATCCAAAGCTAAGTTATTGGGAGTAAATACACACCACTAATATGAGGACCCATGATGGAGACTACGGCGTATGAATGACCACATTCCCTCAATTTGACCTCCTTGATGAAATTTTCCAGTCCGTCGACATTAAATGTGCCATCTCCATCAATTAGTTGAGTAGAAGAACATTCACCAGGATTACCTGTTCAGATTAGCGAGTCAAAAAGAGAGTGACTTGATAAGCCTGTACATTGTGTCTAGAGGAGACAAGACTACTATAAAAACTCGTAATCGAGAATGAAAACCTAGGATCCTATCTAAATGGCGAGAAGTACCAAGAGGTTGATTTCATTATTTCAACAATTTTATCGATAACATATTTCTCCTAATGATGAAGGAAGTGCATTAATCCCTGTCAATCTCTCGAAACACGGCTGTCAACAATAATCTATAAATCATCTTTATAGTGCTTGGGAGATGATTAAATTGGTATCCTGTTACACTAACACCATGATTAATGTCATCAGCTACCCTTTGCAACACAAACAAAAGGGTACTAGCGAAGAAACTTCCTAATCTTCACAGTCACTCTTATAGCATCAAATGACTAAAGCTCTCTTCCACGGGTTTTCGAGAGCCGAAATTATCATTGAGGGAAATAAAGCCCTAAAACCTTTCAGCCCTTGCAATTGGCCTTCCCAGAGACCAAGCTAACCCAGCAACAAACACGATCAGAAATTGGGAGGAAACAGTTAAGCCGTGTTAGAATATTAAATAATAAACATTTAACTAACAGCTTTCAGTACAGATTTAGGATAGTTAGCGGTGATCCCACAAAATCTCATATTGTATCAGACCTAGAGATCCCGAGTTTCCTATTTGTCTTTCTAATTATATATGTACACGCTTATTACTAGGTAAAAAGACTAGACTAAACTACGCGTGAGGAGTGTTAGAATATTAAATAATTAACTACGCCTTCATCTGACTGATAGCATAAAAACCAGTAGATGCATTAATTCGACATTACGAGCGAAGAACCTTAAGACCAAACAACAGTTACGAGGATACCTAATTATACGCAAACCAACGGCAATTCAGAGATTCCAAAAGCGATAAAAAGAGGTGGTTGCAACCGGAGACTTCAATCATGATAAAGAAGCGTATGAAGAGCAAGTTTTAACACGAGAACTAAAAGGATCGGAGGCGTCGGATACGAGCAAATTACCCATTGGCAATGGATCGAAGCAGGGTCGATCCGACGATCGAATGAGGGAAGCCTCGCGAGGTTCGGTCGGAGAAACAGTGACAGGATGTCTCAGAGGTACGACGTATTTCAACCTCGTTGGAGATATGCTTGCCATTCTAGAACAGATTGAATGAATCAAATCTATCCTAGATTGATTATTCTGTTCTGGATACTCTTCCTTTATTCTTTCCTTTATCCAATCGGTTATCTTTGAATTTTTATCGTAGGCCCGATAAGAAATCATAGTTCAACTACTGAAATAGGTCAGGATGCTACGTCCGATTTGCTTGGCGTCTTTTCAGTTTATTCATACATGAGATTCCCAGAAAATTAATATGAACAAAGTATTCCATTCAACTTGTAATTCAAGTAAGATGCATGTGCAATTCAAATGTTGGATCAGTTGTCTTCAAATCCATATTGGACACCCGCATAAATCATTCTTCAACTACTAAAAAAGGTTAACGGTGCTATGCCGGATTTGCTTGGCCTCTTTTCGACTGATTCAGGCATGATTCTCCAGAAGTTATTAGGAGCTGTACTTTTTCCATTACTTAATAAAGATTAACCAATTCTTCCCAATTAAATGCTGGGATCTAAGATTGCTTTTCAACTCCTGGACATGATTGGTCAGCTAACTTAGCTCCTCAACGTGATGTCTTTTTCTCGTGTGCTTTTTGCTCTATTTCTTTTTGTCTTCTTTTCTTCCGCTTGCTCTTCGGGTAAATTCACCGAGTCATCTTTTTAGCTTATTGTAGCTGTTAGAGATATTTAGATATCTTTTAAAGATATTTAGGATATTTTTTCTTATTTTTTAATATCTAATTTTAATTATGAATATCTAATTTGATTTCCTTATATGGTTATCTATTAAAACCTATTCATATATTCTTTTCTATAATACCAAAATATACACAAAATTATTATTTCTCTATTCCACGTTATTATTCTGAAACATTCAGCACCGTTAAGTCCAATATCCAACAAGATCCATCATTAGTCCCAGTACTAAATCATCACCAACTACATTGTAAGGACCAATGACCCACATGCACATTAATTCAATTAAGCTACGGATGTTGGGGACATCTTGTAGACCCCTTGAACTAGTCAAATCAAGATCTGGAAATTTTAGGGGACAAATATCTTTTAGTCCTAGGAAAGTGCAACATTATTGAGTAAAAAGTTTTCATACTCGTGTACCTAAAGTTGCGAAATGATAATCGTTTTATTTTATTTTTTTTATTTCTGGGAATAGGTTTGGAACATAAATGCGTTTGGTAATGTAATTTTATTTTTCTATTTCTAGAACAAATTTTGATTTCAGAAATAGGTTTAGAACATAAATGAGAAGTAAAAATTCTTCTTATTGCTCGCCCTCACTACTAGCCAGTCGCCCATTCGCTGTCCACCGCCGTCCGCTTGCCGTCCGCTGCCTCCCATCGGTTGCCTTGGGCCATTGCCCGCCACCACCCTACTCCTGCCACCGCCCATCTCTTGATGCCACCCACCTGCTTTTCGCCACCTCTCGTCATTTGCCTGTCGCCGTGGGCTGCTGCCCGCCTCCCACCACCGGCCACCACCTCCCACCGCCACTCGTCACCACCCGTAGTCGCTCGCCTCCCGCCATTGCCCAATGCCAGCTGTCTCTCCGCATTGGCCGCGCCGCAATCCACCGCCGCCTCCCATTGACCACCCCCGTCCACTCGCCGGTCGCCTGAGAGAGAGAAATTTTGTACCGTTATCAAATAAATTTTTGTTTTAGGAACAAAAATTTTATGTCATTATCAAACGTGTATTTTTGCTTAGAAACTCATCCATGGAATAAAAATAGAAAAATCTATTTCTGGCCAGAAATTGATTTCTGAAATAGAATGGTTGTCATTCACGCTCTAAATGTCTTCTAATTATTGACATGGCTGACTTCTCTACCATTTTTTTTTATATTCGGGTTAGGTTGGCAAGGCCAAAAAAAAGAAAAATGACTAAAATAAAGAAATGGGTATTGATGCTTGTACAGAATTTTAATATGCATTAGGCAATATAATTCCATGCTTAGCCTTAATCGTGCTAGTTTGTTTATCAGTTAACTAGTCCAACAGGCGCCCTTCTTTTTCTTTTTGGCACCATTAAGAAAAGGGAAAAGAGTTAAAAAGAAAAACCCCCCATCATCTGCTTTTGTTTTATTTTGTAGATGTGATTATCACTTATTTCTTTTCCTCCTTTTTGACTCCACCCACCTCGAAAGAAGAATTACATCGAGAATGCAATCAAGTTCCCTTCGGAAAGAAGATTCACGTGGCAATTAAGACGTCATAAAGGCATGTGCATGTTCCTTGTCACAAGTAAAGCTGGGAAACCAATCGGGGAAAAAGGCAGTTTTATTCGGATTTAAGTCCAAGAAATTAATAAAAAAAACAAAGAATTTGTCTTTCATTAGAAGGGAAAAGCGTTAGAAAAGTTCTAAACCTATTGTATTGATGCAAATTTAATCTTAAATCTTTTAATTTAGTGTCAATTCAATCCTTCCGACTAATTTTAGCTGGATATTGCTGATGTGGATGCCGGTCGACGTACATGGTACCGTTGGTGCTGACATGGACAAATTTTAATAATATTTTAACATTCTTTCGAATCAGAAAGCAACGCTTTGGATGTGCAGGGGGAAGATGATGTTGAACGAACTAGAAAGCCTCAAGCAGCTCATGGTGTGTCCCAGCTTCAATAGCTACTCAGCCAATCGGCTTGCCAATGTCGCCTAGGGGAAGGCGACGCTTGGCAAGGTCGCCCAAGCCTCGCCAAGGCTCGCCCTTGTTTGGCCAGGCCTCGCCTATGGCGGGTGATGGCGACCCTTGGTTAGGCGTGGCCAACCTGCCTAGCCATGGCTGGTGGCTGGTCATCGGTAAAAGGAAGAAGAAAGGGAAAAAAAAACAACTAAATTATTAAAAAAATCGAAAAGATATTATTAAAAATTATTCACATTAGCATAGGCGGTGCCATGTAGGCCGACCGACGTCCACGTTAGCAATATCCAACCAAAATTAGCTGGAAGCACTGAATTTACACAAGGCCAAAATATTTAGGACTAAATTGGCAACATTAAAATGTTTATAACTAAATTAACACAATTGCAATAAATTTATAATTTTTCAAACATTTTTTCCTTCTTTAAAATGTAACTATCACTGACCTTGTTGTAAATTGTCCGACAAAAAAAAACCTTATTGTAAATTGATTTATGAGAAATAATATAATAATTTCCGGAAAGTCCGAGCATGTGTCAATTCAAAGTCATACCAATCCCTTTGGACGACATAAAGACAAGAAGCTGCCAACTCATTTATGGCAAAATAAACAAAAACAAAAGCAAAACTATTCCCGAAATAATTAAATAATTTTCCATGATCCTAAGCGAGTCACAGGTCCCCACCACTTTGACACAAGCACCGCAGGCTTGGTAGTTTTCGTTCTTGTAACAAGCAAAGGTGCTGGAAAAACCACACCAGTCTCAGCAAAACGACAGTTGATTCGTTCGCTGACCATGGACTATCGAGCATGGGCAATTTCCGAACTGTTGTCGATACTAATAATGTCTCTCGCATCTGTCGGTGATTCACAGTTTCACGTGAACTGTGATGATCCTCGTGGCGAAGAGAACGGGACGAGTTCGATTCTTGATCCCTGAGCTTCTTGCTACATCACTTAGATTATAGCATCAGGTGACTGCGATTGAAACATGTCGGGTTTTGTTCATGTTTGGAAATTTACATGGTCTCGTGGATGGTTTTTGTGGAGGGGTGTCACTTGAATCGCATTTTGCAAAAACCCGGTCCAATGAGATCAGAGAGTAATTGCCGGGGCCAAAGGGCCCGGAAAAGGAGCAATTTCTGGCAGACCTCTAGGATGGCGCATCGAATGAAGGTAAAAATGAACCGAATTACATAACAAAAGGGCGATAATGTTCCTAGAATATATATATATATATATATAGAGAGAGAGAGAAGGAAATAGTGCATTTTGACGTAACAGTAAGCTTAGCATTGAAACTCCAATGATAGGCGTGCTTGGATAAGAGCACTAGCAAGATGGACAACATCTCGAGAAAGAGTGTCATAGTCATTGGGAGTATTCAAGAAGCAGGAGGACATGTCTCTCTGATGGACACCTTCCGTACAAATTACTCGAATATAAAAGCTCACCATAGTGAGCCAATTTTGTTAATTTATCAATTTGCTTAGCTACATTTAGCTTCCTCCACGCGGGAAGTGATTTTAACCATCAAGAGGTACTACGTGAGCTTCGGCATAGACAACTTAAATAATGCTCAATTTCAACTCATACACAGAATTTGATCGGGATCTGCATTCGATCCAACCGGTAACACGATGTGATCATGCACAGTTCAATCTCAATACACATTGAGCCAAAGACAATAATCAACCAAACCTTTACCTGCAGAACCGTGAACCGACAACAAATGACAGAGCACAAGTACTCCCATCAGCATGAAAATCAACTGCATTTGCATACCCATTTTTTACCGGAAAAATTACCAAAAAAATCCTAAACATTTTGCAGTTGTGCAAATTCAGTCCTAAACCTTTTGCAAACCAGCCAATTCAGTCCTTTTGGCCGGCCGGCCCTGACGTGGCGCCGGCCGGCGTCCACGTGGCAACATTGTGGAAGCAATTTAATGAAGACATTCTTTATATTGTTACTAAAGCAATTACTGCTGAGGTACGTTACCTATATCTTATATTTTGTTTAATAGTGCAAAGTTATTAATTATTTGCTTTTTTCTGTTGGAATTTTCAGGAAGCAAAGAGGGCTGAGGCTAGACGGTTGGCTAAGAGCCAGTGAAAATCCCAGTTGGCAATTTTTGCTTGCGTAGCTTTGGGAGCATGCTGATTAAAAAAACTTCTTTAGACGTGTATATACAAAATTTCGGTTCTCCTGTGAGAATGCCTTACTGTTTTCCCCAACTTGTGACAAGTTACTTCAATTTGCCTGCATGACAGTCTCAATCGCCACGTGAATCTCCTTTGTGGAGGTAACATGAATGCTTTCTTGATGCTCACACCCTATCTTGCTTTGCAAACATGCTCGTACAGATTTATGATATGCATTAGGCAACTATTATCCCATGCTTAGCCTTGATCATACTAGTTTATCCATCAGTTAACTAGTCTAACAAGCAGCCATTTTCATTTTGGTACTATTAAGAAAAGGGAAGAGAGTTTAAAAAAAGAAAAAAAGAAGAAGAAAAACCCCCATCATCTGCTTTTGTTTTGTTTTCTAGATATGACTATCATTTGAAAATAGTCAAATGAAAATTCGAAAAGAAAAATATTAAAATATTGTCACGTGGACGCCGGCCGGCGCCATGTCAGTGCCGGCCGGCCAAAAAGACTGAATTGGCTGGTTTGAAAAAGGTTTAGGACTGAATTGACCAAAAAAAAAGTTTAGGACTGAATTGACACAACTGCAAAAGATTTAGGAGTTTTTTGGTAATTTTCCCATTTTTTATCTCTCAGCTCAGTCTAAGAAGAGTGTCCAGCTTCAAGTAAAGAAAAAGAAGTGAAGAGGAAGTATCGGAAACTGGAACGTTTTGAAGAACCAAATCATGGATATTGCTCGAAGTGATAAAATTCACATCCAGATGAAGACCCACATTTAGTATCACAAAAGCGATGGATAGAGAAGGAGAAGATTCTTTTAGTAGAAAAGAAAGAGGTGGTTAGGTGGCTAAAAGAAAAGCCCAACTGCTTCTTTTCATTTCAAACCAAGGCTCGACAATACTCGAACTTAAGAAAGTTCTTTCAAAAGGGAGGACAAAAGGAGAAAATGATACAAATGATAGTCACATCTAGAAAACAAAACAAAAGCAGATGATGGGGGGTTTTTCTTCTTCTTTTTTTCTTTTTTTAAACTCTCTTCCCTTTTCTTAATAGTACCAAAAAGAAAAATGAAAATAGCTGCTTGTTGGACTAGTTAACTGATGGATAAACTAGTATGATCAAGGCTAAGCATGGGATAATAGTCGCCTAATGCATATCATAAATCTGTACGAGCATGTTTGCAAAGCAAGATAGGGTGTGAGCATCAAGAAAGCATTCATGTTACCTCCACAAAGGAGATTCACGTGGCGATTGAGACTGTCATGCAGGCAAATTGAAGTAACTTGTCACAAGTTGGGAAAAACAGTAAGGCATTCTCACAGGAGAACCGAAATTTTGTATATACACATCTAAAGAAGTTTTTTTAATCAGCATGCTCCCAAAGCTACGCAAGCAAAAATTGCCAACTGGGATTTCCACTGGCTCTTAGCCAACCGTCTAGCCTCAGCCCTCTTTGCTTCCTGAAAATTCCAACAGAAAAAAGAGCAAATAATTAAATAACTTTGCACTATTAAACAAAATATAAGATATAGGTAACGTACCTTAGCAGTAATTGCTTCAGTAACAATATAAAGAATGTCTTCATTAAATTGCTTCCACAATGTCTTGCATTGAAGAGGTGTGATGAGTGTGTTTGACAAAGAAATCTACAATTTAACAGTATATAAATGCTCTCAGAAAATAATACCATTGAAACTAGAATGGACAATGGGCCTAAACTGACAAGAGATCTACTATTTTAATACTTTTGTCAGTGGTACTGGGTTGGGGGTCCAGCGAATCAACTGACAATGTTTGCTCAATATCATCCGTCCTATCATCCAATCGTACAACCGCCAATACAGAGAGCAACCTCAATGACTGCAGGTATCATAATTATTTCAGTAAAAATCCACAAGCAAGCAACAGGGGAAACATGTAAAATATTTGCACCGCATATAAAATTTGCATACCTCCAAATGAGCAAGTTTTTTGATTACTCGAATATGTTCAATTCCAGTCCAGACTCTTGGCATAGAGTCGATATCACGGCTGAACACTGTTACAAACCTGGATAACCAAATGAAGCACATAAGAATAACAAGAGGTATTGAATCAAACCAACGAGTAAATCACAAACTTAAAGAGTGTGCCTACCGGTCCCTCATGCGTCTGAGGACTAATTCAGATTCCTTCCTCCCCTTGCATGATCTGTTATACCTGCGAGGAATTTTTCCTTGCTCTGTTCATCATGCCTAAACCAGAAAGGGCACCAGAAAACCCAGTTACAGCCGATTCGGTCTCACGCGCAAGAACTATCCTGATAGTCGACCAGGTTTCACTATTAGCTCCATCCAAAAGAGCTTCCACTGGTTTAGACAGAGCTTCATTCAGTTGTGCCTGTACAAATGTAAAAAAATTTGTGCAGATCCCATCAACCACCATTAAGTGAAAGGGGGAAAAGCCCTCCATCCGTAAAGAGAAGCTCGAGAGAAGAAGAAATATCTCTGTTCATTATGCTACCTTAGATGCTTCTGTAAGCTCAGAGAGCTTGGCAGCACGGACTGAAGCAACATGGGCATCAATGTTATGCTGCAGCTTCTCCCGTTCTCTAGATGTATCCCATTTGGCTTGTTCAATTACGGCATCTGTTCAAAGTATGATGTGAAACTTATCCATACAGTCAGTGGTAATATTCCTCTAATAACAAGTCCAAAGTAAAGCATGGCATGAACCTACAAATAGTTTCCTAAATGCCCCGAGTGTTATTTACCAACAAGACCATATTTTCACATCAGCCTCCAGTCTCAGACACAAACCTTCATTTCTGATAGATACAAGTAAAACAACTCATAGGTCACCAAGGGAGTGCAAATGCAATGACAAAAAGAGTCAAAGAACCAAAAGAGAGCTTAGTTACAAGACAAAGCACAACGACAAACCTTCATTCTTGGCCTACTTTTTCAGAGCATTAACTTTACAACATTAGGCCAAACGAGGGCATTACAAGTTGCTGTACCTGCGCATCCTTCGTCAAATTGAGCCATATAAGACTGAGTGCAGTCATGAGCAGCCACACAAAACACTTCCTGTCCGATCAAAGCCTTTTCAAATGCTTCCTTGAACTTATCTACAGTTTCCCACCCAATACGTTCAAGAACAGATTGGAAAGCCGGTTGTACAAGCTGACGATTCACACAAAAACAGGATCAGCAACATATGATAAGATATCCTCAACAGACGGTCTCTCTGTGTAAGCTTAACTTCAAATGAAAACATCATGACTGAAATAAAAATGTGTCAAAAAGGGAAAATATTTCCACGTTACAAGCAGCTTGAAGTGGTAGTCATACAATAGAACCCAAAAAATCATGCACTTTAAGCAAGAAAAAACGTCCCATAACTTCTTACTTGAAGTATTTTTTCTACAAGCTGCTTCCGCTTCGAAGATCTAACATTCTCGTCAAAATATATGGCCTCTGATTCATACCTAATAAGGAGCACAAGAAACTTTATAAATAAAACGTACTTATAGTGATAGACAAATTTCTAACCCTGACAGAACATAATCTTCACCCAAAAATAAAACAAGGAAACATCACAAACAGAAGGCCAACTTAAGCTAAGCCATCAGCTAGGCAACTGCTACACTGTAACTAGCCATTCCTCTCCTACTATCAGGAGAAGATGATTGCTCGAAAGCAACCATTGAACAACCAGTTGAAATAATACTCAGATTGTGAATGAAGGGGCCATTTCCAAATTGGAATGATCACTTGAACAGAATAGCTGTATCTCACCAACACAGGCTAGACCTCAACAGCTATTATCTCATCTACTCAGGCTAAACCTCAACAACCAGCTAGTAGATATATCACAGAAGCAAACTCGTGCAACCTAAAATTAAACAATATAAACTTAAAAAAAAACGAGGTTTCCTTTGTGTTTTCTCTTTAAAAAATGCACTCGTTCCAAGAAAAGAAAATGCTCCTACTGCCCCCACTTCACGTAAGCCAGGAACAACTTAAAGAAACAACATTCTTAGAAGTAAGAACATGAAGCCGATTGCGCTGGATAACCTTAATGTACTTGCATTATTTAATAAACATAAAAGCCAGTTGCTGCACCACCATCTGTAATTCATCAGATAAAATTACTTATCTTACCCCGATAAACAAGCCTCAAGAATTGAACCGAGTTTCTTTCCAAAACCAGGAACTGGTCCCAACTGCGAAGCCTCTTCAATCAAATGCCAATCCTAACATGTTCAGAAGGGTTCGCCCGATCTTAAAATGTGAGATAAAATGCATCTACTTGCATCTCAAAATAGTGAAACAGACAAGCAAGTTTAATGTCCAGCAAGAACCAGATCAATACCTTATTTTCAGTAAAACTGTAATATTTTTTGTCGGCAATTTCTTCACATCGTACGGTAGCAACCATGACCTTAACACGGATAGTATGATGTGTACATTAGCATTCTCATTATCAACAATATATATAGTGGCCTTTCGATTAATTAACTCTCACCATGTGTGCAGGCAAGTCAAGGTCCCTATCCTCCTTAATGACCTTCCACATCTGCTGAGCACTAAAAGAAAATCCTGAAGCAGGAACTGCTCCCCTTCAATCTCCGGCGAGCCCACCAGGTGCAATAGAATGGAAGAACCGCTGTCTAAGGCTGGCCACCTGTTCGTCCAAGGAAATTCAACCATATGGCAAAAAATTAGTACAGATGAAAAGTATAATCTATTTGGCAACCAATGCTCCAAATTCCACAATAGAGCACAAGAAGATGAGATGGATACATAACACATCTCAAACTATAATTGATTAAGAATGGGAACAGAGGAGTAGTGAAAATCACCAAACTCGATAATGATGATTGAGCAATGATAAGCCCCAAGAAAATAAGAAATAGCTGTCAATGATGAGTGGCATTTCCACAGATATTCCAATACTTATGCATATGAGGACCAATATTCGTTTTAAACAGTACTCCAGTACAGGATTTATGTGAAGGAATGGGCGCCCACTGCAGCATTTGAAAATCTTGTCCAAACACAACAACAAAGCCGACATAAAAATTAGGCAATTGCACTCAAGATCCAAACATGCTTCCATGCGGTGCAAGGTAGGTATACCTCCTCTTTAAATTGCTGTTCCTTGCGTTCATAATTAGAGAGAGCAACAACCTCAACCTGAACAGCAGAAGAGATTCATTAGGACGAACTTCATTGCAACAATTAACGGCGAAAGCAAATTATCGAGAGGAACTCATACAAGCATCAAAGCACCTACATTAAAAAAATCACTGAGAGGAGTTTCCTTGTGTGCTTGTGGCTTAGGAACCTTGTCCCATATCTGCAGGAAAATACTAAATGAAACCAGGAACAACTTTACAAAGTCGATTTTCCAAAGGAAATGCAACAACCCTCACCTTCTGCACATCTTCTCTCAAGCGATTTTCAATATATCTCGGAGGAGTCTGGATAAAAAGAAAAATCAAAGAGCAGATAAAAACCATCACAATCCAAAATGGAAACATGATTAAGTATAGGTACCAACCCTTGTTTTATCCCGTATGATGAACAACAGAGTTGTTCTCCGAGGGCTAAACAATCGCATCATGACCTTCAAGAAGAGTCACAACTTTATCATTAACTCTTGGAACTAAACATGTAGCTTATCTTAACTCAAGAGGACAAGAAATACCTGGAATACAATTTTCAGAAGAGGCGAGCTGGCAGCTTGATCACGGCCAATATCATGACACCACCTACAAAAAAAGATGTGTAAAAAGGGCACTAGGAAAATACTAAGACAACAATATCTCGCTAGAGCACAGCAAAAGCCTCACATGTTTATGATGACTACATCGGAGATGGCCAAAGCGAAAAGAGCAATCTGCTTTTCAAAAGCAGCATCGTCCTGAATAAAAATGAGGATTAGATACACACAAATCAACCTTCTGGGTTGGTAAGATAAGCAGACATACAAAAGTGGAAAAGCAAATACACCTCTCCTCTTTCAAAACTGTCACTTCCCTCCACGTCCAAAATCAAAGTAAATGGTTCCATACCAGCAGCTTTAGCCATCCACATCCCCATGGTGGTTTGAGACCTGGAAAAATATGAAACCGTTTTTAGACTTTCCGAATCCAAATCTCAAATTCCATTAGAGTGAGGTTGTAGACATGCCTCCCTACTGAATAATCCATCATCTTAAACTTGGTGCCGAAGAGATGATTAAGCAACGTGCTCTTCCCTGCCATGTCATACTCATACAAAAGAATAAATAAGATTGAAACTGCAAAAGAAAAAAAAACATGAAGATGAAATGCAAATGCGCACCACTACTCTGAGGACCGAGGATGGAGACTACGGCGTATGAAACGCCACATTTACTCAATTCGCCCTGCGGCGCCCGGGATTCGAACACTCAACCTTTTGCGACCCAGGCGGGTGGTACTTTCTAACAATTTTAGTAACAACATATTTCGAAAATGAGGATAGAGGCGCGGATTCGAGCAAATACACATTGGCACGAGGCTTTGATCGCCAGGCTCGGCGAGGCTTTGATCGCCAGTCGCGAGGCTTTGATCACGAGGCGCGAGGGTTTGATCGCCGAGGCTTTGATCGCGAGGCGCGAGGGTTTGATCGCCAGGCTCGCTGAGGCTTTGATCGCCAGTCGCGAGGCTTTGATCGCCAGGCGCGAGGGTATGATCTTCAGGCTCGCCGAGCGTTTGATCGCCCGGCGCGCGGCTTTGATCGCCAGGCGCGAGGGTTTGATCACCAGGCTCGCCGAGGCTTTCATCGCCAGTCGCGAGGGTTTGATCGCCCGGCGCGAAGGTTTGATCGCCCGGCACCGGCACCGGCGCGAGGCTTTGATCGCCAGGCGCGAGGCTTTGATTGCCAGTCGCGAACTCCATCGGCGACCAAAGATTGGCTGATCGATCGGCGATCGATCAGGAGAAACAGCGAAAAATGCTCTTCAGAAAAGTGACTCGATCCTTTTAACAGGGGAGAACAGGGACGAAGACACCAAAAACCCTCAGCTATACATTTACTCTAAACCCTCTTTTTTTGTGATTTATAAAAAAATCCAACATTTGTATTCATATTGCACTTATACCTCCAACTCATACCGATTTGACATATTTACCCTAAATTTGTGCTCATGAGGCACGTTTACCCCAAATTCACCCCATATTTTGAAGTAAATGTGTCGTGCGGATACATATTTAAAATATTTGGTGTCACAAAAAAATTGAAATAAATATGTCACACGGATATAAATTTTAGGCAAATATATCACAATGAACATAACTTAGGGTTTTTGACACCTTTTTCCCGGAGAATAATAAGACTTAGAGAAATTAGAATATTTATGTAATCAAGTGAAAAATTATTTTTTTCTTTTGTCGGAAAAAAAGGGTTGTGACGGGACTAAGAAAATTTTGCCGTTCGAAATTTTTTCAAAAAGAGAAAAAAAAAGATTTATTCTTTAAAGAGTGCTCAAATGTATGGTTAAGCAACTAAACAATGATCAACTGATTTGTCTCGTAACACGGTTATTTTCAAGATTATACTTTTTTAATTATAATCACAAATACCTTGTAAGCCCCCGTAAGCCAGAACTTGATTTTGGGGCGGCATAATTTGTTTTAATAAATATCATTGAGCAAATAATTTCTCAAGAGTATTTTCTGGTTAACGTCAATGTCTAGCATATAATTTAGAGTAATTTTGTTATTTGGACTTTTCTCGTCCTGCTCAATATTCAATTATCATTTAACTTCAAATACCTTAAATAATCTCAAAATCACATAGATAGAATATTGGGGTGCAGAGTCCTTCAAAACTTTTTAATAATTTAATAGAATTGTAATTAGTATTTTTTTTCGAAATTTTGTGAAAATAGAGTATTTTAAAAAGCTTTTAAATGTGTTACCCTCAAAACTTAGCGTGGAAAATTGCTTGTTGTACTTTTTAGTAAGAAAGAATGATTGAGAAACGAAATTACATGGTAGCCCTTGCAAATTTTCATAAAGTGAAAATCAAGTTTCTATTAAAAAGATGTGAGATACAATGATACATCAACCAAACAGCTCTGGGTGGTTCTTGATTCCAAATTTTCAAAACAGGGAATAACTAGTCTGGTTTCTAGGTCCTAGAGAGGAACCGAACCGACGAAATTGACCAAACCAAACCGGCGACCGGCCTTAGAGTGTATTATTTGTTTGTTTTTTTATTCAACAAGAGCAAAAAGTAAGGATTATTTGTGGAAGCAACCTCTTCTTTTACTGATAATTTCTAGTGAATAGTAGTTTCATCCTACACCAAAGTAAATTTCAATATATTTAGGAACTTTTGAGAAAGAAAATAAAATATTTAAAAATATAATACCGCCGGTTCCTGGATGAATGGGGTTGATTCCCAATTTCACGGACCGATAACCAACCATGTCCGATCCGCTTCTCACCTTGAAGCCAATCAATCTTGATAATTTCTTAGAAAGAGAACAAGAAAGTCCAGAAAAATGAATACATAGCAGATTAGCGGAAAGCTCAGCGTGGAGCATGTGCATACAAAATCTCGATGGAGTGGCTTGCACGTGAGCACTTTGGCAACTTGCGCCATGAATTTGACAACTAACTCTATTTTTTTTTTTTGTCTTTGATTGATTGCACTGGTTTTCTTACAAAATGAATTAGGGCTTAATCCAACAATGATATTAGCAAATTGCACCCCCGTTTCGAATGACTTTTAGGGCGTGCATGATAACCATTCTATTTCTCTGTTTTTCTATTTTTCTGCTCTCAAGAGCAGGTTTAAAACAGAAATTCATTTGGTAACGCAATTTCATTTTTCTATTTCTAAAATAAATTTATACTCTAAAAATAGGTTTGGAACAGAAATCAGAAGTAATTTTTTTTTACTTTTATATTTATGGAACAGAAATAAGAAATAAAAACTCTTCTCATCACTTGCCCTTATTACTAGCTGGCCGCCCACCTATCACTCCACCATCGCAGCCAGTCACCTCCCACCACCGCTGGCCGTTGTCCTCCGCCACCTGTCGGTCGTCGTTTATCGCCGTCCGCCACCGGCTACCTCTTGTCGTCTACCTTTCTCCGTCGTCCAACGCCGGCCGCCTCTCACCGTCGACTGTCGTTGGCTGCCTTTGGTCGTCCTCCGTCGCCTCCCGTTGTTGCCCAACACCGGCCACCTCCCATCGCCGCCCGCCTCTTGCCGCTGCCCAACATCACCCACCTCCCGTCGCCGCCGCCCAACATCGCTCACCTTCTACCACCGCCCACCTGTCGGCTGTCTCCTGTTGTCGTCCTCCTTCGCCGTAGGCCTCTCTCTCGTCGTCTTCGCCCTTGCTAGATTCTGTCCTTCTCCGCCACTCTCAATCGGCCACCTCTCGTCGCCGATCGCCTC